ATACACATAAAACATAGAAACATCTAATCAATTAATGTCGATATAAATATGATACTCATAATTATAACTTAATGATCATAGGCGTAACGTTATTTTATATTATGTGACAATGAACACATTTATAAAATAAAGGAAAGTTTGGTTAAAAGGTATAATTAAATATAACTAAAAGTAATATGAGGTGAGGACAGCCTTTCCTCTCCCCAGCATGCGTCTTCGCCTTTCCTTTCTGATGCGTCTTCGCCTTTCCTTTCTGATGCGTCTTCGCCTTTCCTTTCTTATGCCTGTCTGCATCACTCTTCTTCTGTTCTGCACTGACGCTGACATCTCGCTGCGCTAAGAATCGTCCACTTCCACGAATCATTTCTCTGTCTCCACGAATTGTCATTTTCCACGAAGATGAACTGCCTTCTTCATCTTCGATTCGAGTAGAGCCTCTCCGATTCTTTGTGGTTTTGCATCGTCTAGGATGGATTCGTCCAAGTTCGAGACGGATGAACCACTGACGCCGGCCGGACGACTCTTTCTCCGTCCTGAAATTAACCAGATTATTCACTGCGTTATCGGAGTGCGGGACTTGATTGATGTCGATTCGGTTAAATCTCAAATCGCTGGTTCCGTAATGGTTCAGCATCCTAGGTTTTCGAGTCTTCTTGTTCGTGACCAGAATGGAGTTGAGTACTGGCGGAGGACTTCTATTGAAGTCGACCGTCACGTCATTGTTGTTGCTGAACCTGTATTGGACGATGGAGCCAGCGATGAGAAGGCGGTGAATGAGTATTTGGCTGATTTAGCGATTAATTCGTCGATGGATGCCGATAAGCCTCTTTGGGAGATTCATTTGCTTTTGGCGCATAAGTGCGCGATCTTCCGAATCCACCACGCGCTTGGCGACGGGATCTCGTTGATGTCGATGTTCTTGACGTGTTGCCGACGGGCAGACGATCCGAATGCTCTGCCGACGATCGTTTTGGATTCGAGGTCAGCGAGGAAAACCAGGCGGTGGAGGTGGGCGGAGGAAATACCGAAAACGTTGTTGGCGGTGTGGTTTAACTTCCTGTTTGTGGTGGAGTTTATACTTCGGGCTCTGTGGGTTTCTGACCGGAAATCGCCGATCTCCGGCGGGGATGGGGTGGAGCTCTGGCCGAGGAAAATGGCGACGGCGAAATTCGCGGTGGAGGATATGAAAGCGGTGAAGAAAGCGGTTGCTAACGTGGTAAGTTGAACTCCTCAAAACTAATTGATCTGTGGCTTTGAACGTGACTTTCCTCTAAATTAGTTTTGTGGTCTGTTATGTTTAAAAGTTTCTAATCTGATGCTGAAAAGCTTATAAAAACAATTCAAATGTCCACGTGTACAGAAATACCCATAAAATATATATAAATATAAAATACTTATTTAAAGTTTTTAAAATAACAAATAAACTTTTTTTTTTTTTTTTTTTTTTTTTTTTTTTTTTTTTTTTTTTTTTTTTTTTTTTTTTTTTT